CACAAAAGTGGAGAGCTGCATTTAGGCATTTCCAGCAGAATGCACTGCAAGCTTTATTAGTCAGGGTAAGTTAGGCTATGCTGCCACAGGAGTTTCAGTGGCTTAACTACCATGTTGAACACATGACCTTCGAATAAGCCACAATAGAGGCAAAGAGAGATGGAGGTGGCACACTCATGTCTCAGTCACCTCCAAAGTGATGCTTGATGTTGCTCACATTTCACAGACCAGCACTAATCACAAGGAACCACGCTAACTGCAAGGGAGATTTGGAACTGTGGGAGAAGATACGGATGCTTGCAAGGCACTGTCTTTGCCACACAACACATCAATCCACAAGTATGGGGCGCCTGGGGGGCTCAGTCAGTTAAGCGGCTGACTTTCGGCTCAGGTCATGATCTTAGGGTCCTGGGATTGAGCCCTGAGTCAGGCTCTCCACTCAGTGGCGAGTCTGCCTGTCCCTCTCCCTTTCCACCAGCTCGTGCTCGCTCTCCCAAGAAAACCTTTTTAAAAAATTCACAACATCACAGATGGAGAAGCTAGACATAACCCATGGAAAGGGCAGCAAAAGGGACTAGAGCTGGCCGTACTTTAAACCATGACATATCCTATTTTGGCAGAAAGCCCGATATTACCGTCAGCTTAAAAACTAACAAAATCACTATAGTATCATTTGATACAAAAGGAAAAAAATAGCCTAGCCTCCAAAACCAGTGAAACCAAATAGAAGCTAGAATGTGTTTTTCCATTGCTGGTATGAACCCAGGGGAGCCAGCGTCTCAATTCTGCCTTCCTCACGCACAGCCCCACAGCTCGGGCACCACGGTCGGCAGAGATTATAAACAGGGAGGATCCAGGACATGAGGGGATTCGTGGCCTGACTTCCTCTTGGAAAGGCATACCTTGCAGACAACTTTCTAGCATTTGTGCTAGATTTTCATGACCCAAGTTATACTCTTACCACGGTAACAACCCCCACCCACCAATCTTAGTAACCTGACCAAATAAAAGCTTCTCTCTTGCTTATGCAAACCCCTAAGTGAACATTCCTGCTCCAATAGCTACCCTCCGAAGAGTGGTTCAGGGATCTAGGTGCCTTCCATCTTCTGCCACCGCCATCGTCTACACTGGGGACCATGGAAAAGGGTGACACAGTATGGGAAGGACTACTAGATATGCTAACACCTCGGCCCAGAAGCGACAGACACCACTCGTACTTCCGTTTCATTGGCCAGAACTAGTTATACCTCCCACTGAGACTCAAAGGGTGCTGGAAAATGTAGTCCCCACTGTCCAGCCACAACTAGGAGTGTAAATCTCTAGTAAGCCAGCAATCTCTGCCACACTTTGCATCCTCCAAATGACTCTGTATGAGCCAGCCAGCAAAGGGGTGTCCTCAGGATAGAGCAAAGCCAAATAGCTCATCTGGAGACTAAAGCCCTGGCCTAGGTCTTTTTGAATGGATGTTCAGGAAGTGCAAGGATTTCCTCCCGTAGGTGGCAATAGCTCACCACCTGTAAAATCACCAAGAACATAAGAAAAAGACCTCGGAAGCAGGGCCCCAGGGCCAGGAAAGTAGCATCCAAAGGAGGTTCAGAGAGGAGCAAAGATAGGCAGAGCCAGACCCAACAGCAACAGAGAACTTGCGCCCCAGGGCAGGTAGGGACAAGGCTTGATCAAAGGGGCGGTTCTTGTCATTGGACCCGTTACTAGCTAAGGCAAGAAGGCCGCGAATTAGCACGCAGCTGGAGGCCCTAACTTAGATTGGTCATTAACCACCCAACTGGAGAGTAAACGGGCATCAATGATAACGGTGCGTTCCTTGGAAATAACTGTATTGTATTCTACTGCACCAGACCTCTGTTTAAGATTTGATACTACAGTAAGCATATTCAACTATAGTGTCCGAGAAAACAGAATTTCCATCTCAGAATGTGTGGGAAAGCACGAGCCAGAGTTACACAGATTTCCTTCCCGCAGGAAGTCTCAGTTTTTGCTGTGTTCCCGAGCACCAAGCTCCAAGAGACACAGCACGCACTCGGGAAGCGGAACAGGCTGTTTGGTGTACATACACTCCGCACACACAGTAAGTGATCGCAAGTCATGACTATGAATTCTGTTCAAGTAGATACATGGGTATTTAAACAAAAGGAATCAAGGCACATCCAGAAAAAGGGGTTTCTCCTAGAAAAAGAAAAAAAGAGAAGACCTGTCTTGTTTTCCAAGCACTAGAAGTAACCAAGGGATTGAACCTCACTGAATTTAACAGTTCTACTGAATTCCAGACTCTCATCTTTGAAGACGGAGGACAGATGCTTAAAAAGCAAAACAAAAGCTAGTCCTTCTGCAGACCAAAGGCACACAAGGACCTCTGCTAAAAGTGACCACCTCTGCTAAAAGTGAACAAAATGTCCCTCAAAAAAAATTAAACATGAAATCACCATATGACGCAATTCCCCAGGTGGGCATATACACCAGAAAGTGAAAGAGACTTGAGCAGGTATTCAGACACCCATGGTCATTACAACGTTATCTACAATAGCCTGAAGGTAGAAACGACCCAAATGCCCCATCTGCAGATGCCAGGGCGAACACTGGTGTATTCATTAGCCTTCAAGGACACTCCGCTACACGCCACAGCGCAAATGAACCTCGAGGACATTGTGTTAAGCGAAATAAGCCAGATACAAAAAAGACAAAGACTGTATGATCACAGTTATATGAAATTTCTGGGACAGGCAAATTCACGGAGACAGAAAGTAGAACAGTGGTTATCAGGGGCTAAGGGGAGGAAGAAGTGACAAGTTACTGTTGAAGGGGTGCAGAATTTTTGGGCTTATGAAAAAGTTCTGCAGGGGGATGGTGGTGTTGGTTGCACAAGAGTGTGAATGTACTTAATGCCAATGAAATGCATAAAGATGTTTAAATGGCAGATTTTAGGTTACAAATATTTTCGGATTTCCTTTTCAAGTGCTTGTGGCCGTGTTCTTTCACCAGCGTCACTGGTCCTCACTCAGGCTGAAGGCCCGCCTGTGGCTTTCTTGCACCCGCACCGAACCACCCAGGCACCGGCGACCCCGAACCTCTCCTCCAGACCCACACAGGACCATGGAAAACTGCACAAGGCGGGGGAAAACACACTCCAGCCAGCTTTGCCTCGCTAGGGGTACGAGAGACCGGAAGTACACTTCACACCTACCAGGCTCCCTAAAATACCTCTGGGGACAGCTCAATGGGTCCTCTCCCCCCTGCCCCCGTTTTCTAGAACAGCACAGTCCAGTGGGACCTTCTGGGAGGAAGAGCACGCTCTCTTCACTGTGCCTGCTGAGCCCTTGAAATACAGCTGGTGCCAATAACGGACTAACTTCTTGTATTTAAACGGACTTCCTTGTGAACTGCCCCCTGTGGCTAGGGGCCACCGTGTTGGACAGCATGCTTCCAGAACTTGTACAAAGGAGCCGAAGTGACAGATTTGGTTTTCTGTGTGGTTTTTGTTGCTGTTCTGTTTTGTTTGGGTGGAGATGCCCAAAGTCCGTGAGTGGTAAAGATCAGGAGAGGTTGGGGGGGGGAACCCTCTGTTTAGTCCATAAACCCACTACTGGACTTGCATATGTCTTCGGTCAAACCCATGCAAAGAATTTATTAGTTATAATGACGTACCGAGAAATGATTCAGTCAAGACCAAGCCAAGGTCAACCAAAGGAGGTACACGATGCAGAAAATTCTAGGCAATCTGGACCCAGAGCAAGAAAAGGTGAGGTGCCTGTTGTGTAGCTCTGGAATCAAAAGCCCAAGATTTCTGACTGGACTTTCACACCAAACCAGAAGGGGTCCAGTTAGTAGATGAAGGCTTGTTACACACACACACACACACACACACACCCGAGTAGAGCCATGGCACACCCGTCTTCAGAGCTGGCACCAGCAGGCAAGAGGCTACAACTGTGCAGCACAGCAAGGGACGTTTAACCTTCCAGAGAAGAGTCTTTTCAAACTCTAATTTCGGAAGCGGATGAATAGAGGTCAAGAAAACCGAGTGGTTCTGGGTGAAGTGGGCTCCCGAGGAACTTTTCTAAAAAGACGTAGCACTGAGGAGTACACTCCGAGTGGTCAGAAATGTCAAGAGAGTGTTTTCAACGGGCTCAGCTGCCACTTTATTTGAACAAGCCTGACACCCCGCCCCCCTTCCAGGTGGGGAGCATTTGCTCTGCAGAAAACAGATCCCTGTTGCCTCTGAGAATGGAGAACAATACACCTAGTTTACCACTTCCGCGTCGGGTGGCCAGGGTCTCAAACTCCCCCTGCACCTTCTCACATGCTTTTAGGCTTAGGGTGGGCACTGTTACCACCTCTTGAGCAATGGAGAAACCAAGGCACAAACCAGGTAATTACCGTCCCACGTACAAGGCTTATTAATGTCATCCAAGTGCCAGAGGCTTGTCACATAGATTCTAAAGGTGTGGTAAGGAAAAACATCCAAGCAGCAATCCATTCCACACCTGGAGAAACTTGCCAACCAAAAAGTATTGATTTTAAGACTGGATTCTTACCACAAGCTTATCACAGTGAGCTTGGAGCTCTAGTATCCCATTCCAGCAAGGAAAGACACCCGGAACCCCCCCCCCCCCCCCAAATGCTTCTGCATTACGGGATAAAACAGATCTGTCACACTGGTGGTAGAGTACAGCCTCACCATCTCGAAGTGTGTTTGGGGGCAGGAATTAAAGTACCGGAAAGAACACTGGGGCATTTCTAAGAGCCCCTCCCCCTACACGTAGATCCGCACTCCATTGTAGCACAGGGATTCCCACTCTCGGCTGCAAAATGGAATCATCTGGGAAAGCATTCAAAACTCGTGCGGCCTCAGATTGTGGGATCATTCGTCTGGGATACAATCTGGACATGAGTTTTAAAAGTTCCCCAGGTGATTCTAATGTGTAGCTAGGGTTGGGGCCCGCTCACTGCTGTAAGGGACAGGGCCGGAGTGAGGAAGTAAAAGCTGGGTGGGGAGGAGGGCTCCGCATCATCTGGGTTACGGGCTGTTTCTTGGGTCAACTGCTGTTTAAGGGGATCGAAAAATAATGAGCCTAAATGCCAGCGGCGTCCGTTTTCTTATCTGTAAAAAGGTACAATACCACTTACTCTCCCCTCGCGTAAAGGCGGGGCGGGCCGGTGGTGAGAGTCACGGGAGGCTAGGCTGGGGAGGGGCAGGGCCGTGGCGTGGGCCAGGGTCAGGAAAGCGGACAGGGTCGGGTGGGGTGGGGGTGAAGGGGGCATCCGCCTCACCTGCGTCGTAGAAGGCGTCGAGCACAGCTGTCTCCCCGAAGTCGAGCTCCCCGAAGGGCACGGAGATGAACTGGGCGCCCTCGGTCTCGCAGGCCCGCAGCAGGCACTGACGCGCCCCCGCCTCCGGGCCGCCGGCCGGGCCGCCCTGCGGGCTCTCGCTGCTCACATACACTGCCCGCAGAGCCCGTCGCAGCCCGCCCCCGTCCTCGGCCCCGCTCCCGCTCCCCGCGCCCTCGGCCGCCCCGTCGGGCTCCGCCGGCCCCGCCGCGCCCTCGGCTCCCGGCGGCAGCGGAGACGGTGGTAACTCGGCCGCCGCCCCGAGCGCCCCAGCCGGGGGAGTCCCGCCGCGGCTCTCCATGTGGCCGCCCTGCGAGCCCTTCCTGGGTCCCACCTCCGCACGAGCGGCGGGCGGCTGCGGGCCACAAACAGTCCCGGCACCTGTTCCCGGGGCGCGGGCGGGGAGCTGCGGGAGCCAGCGCGCGCCGGTGGCCCCGCGGCGGGCAGGTGAAGGCAGGGCCCCGCGGCCGCAGACGCAAACCGCAGCCCCGCAGCCCCCGAGCGCCCTTTGAAGGCTGGGGCGAGAGAGAGGCGGGAGCTGGGGACGTCAGGGCGAGCGGAGGGCGGGGGGAGGTCTGGGAAGGGCGACGGGGCAGGAGCTGGCCGGACGCCCCCTGCCGCCTCCCCCGGACAGCGCCCGAGGAGGGCGGATTCGTCAATTTCAGGTTTTTGTTTGTTGCAGTCCCTCCAGACTGACCAACTTTAGGAGTCCCGGTTTTTTCCTTCAAAACAATTCGAAGCTTTTCAAGCAGAGTAAAAACTCTTTCAAAGCGCTGGTTTGGAGGTAAATATTCAATTTCAAACTAAATACAGAGGTAGTTTTAACCCAGAATTGAGGGGATAAGATGCTTATTTCAAACGCCTCTGATTTTGATAGATAAATTAATTAAAAGATAAATAAATCGCCTCTGATTTTGCACTCTTTGTCCCCAGTGTCCAAGAGCATGGCCCTCGTGAGCCCAGGTCTGGAGGCTGCTCGTCCTGACTTTCACTGTGACCTTGACAAAGCACCAGAAATAACCAGCAACAAATTTTGTATGCCAGGAAAATAGGCTCCAAGCAGGACGCCTGCCTGACCTATAAAATGCTGTGAACCCAGACGGATCTTTACTCTGGATCTTACCCTCCTTACAATTTTAGGCTCCAATATTAAAATGTAGTATTACCACTGCAGGTAGTACTTTGATTTAAAAAATGGGACATGGGGGCCTGGGTGGGTCAGTAGGTTAAGCGCTACCTTCAGCTCAGGTCATGATCTCAGGGTCCTGGATTGGAGCCCCACCTCGGGCTCCCTGCTCAGCAGGAAGTCTGCTTCTCTCTCTCTCCCTCTGCCCGTACCCCCCACTTGTGTGATCTCTCTCGCTCTCAAATAAATAAAATCTTTTTTAAAAAATGAAAAAAATAAAAGATAGGATGCACCGGATGTTGTCACAAGGTTTTGGGGTTTGGGTTTTTCATTTTTAACACCAGTGTTATTGAGATATAATTCGCAAACCATCCAATTCACCCATTTAAGTGGTTTTTAGTATATTCACAGAGCTGAGCAGCCATCACCACAATGAGTTTTAGAACATTTTCATCACACTCCCCCAAAACCCCAGTATCCAATAGCACTCACTGCCCCTCCCCCAATACCCCTCAGTCCTAGGCAACCACCAATCTACTTTCTGTCTCTATAGATTTGCCTATTCTGGCCATTTCATATATATGGAATCATACAAGGTGTGGACCGAGGATATATATCCAGGAATGGGATATCTGAGTCGTATGAGAACTCCATGCTTAACCTTTGGAGAAACTTCCACTGTTTTCCAAAGTGGCTCCCCCATTTTACATTCCCACCAACAGTATATGAGGGTTCCAATTTCTCCTCACTGTCACCAACACTTATTATTAGCTTTTTGATTAGAGCCATCCTAGTGGGTGTGAAGTGGCACCTCATTGTGATTTTTGATTGGCATTTCCCTTATGACTAATGATTTTGAGCATCTTGTCATGTGCTCATTCACTACTTGTATAACTTCTTTGGAGAAATGTCCATTCAGATCTTTTGTCCATTTTTAAACTGGGTATTTGTCTTTATTATTGAGTTGTAAAAGTTCTTTTTATATTGTGGATGTAAGTCCCTTATCAGATACGTGATTTACAAATATTTTCTCCCATTCTGTGGGTTGTCTTTTCACTTTCCTGATGGTGTCCTTTGCAGCACGTCACAAGCCATTCTGACAAAAGCAGGATAGGACTTACCTTATAAAATCACACTTTGGCTTCTCTGCATGTTTCAGTGGTAATACAGTCCATGCCTCTACCCCACCCCCAAAAGAAAGCAGAAAGTGCCAGTATAAATCTTTGAAGAAATCCTTCCTTAATTCTAGTCCTGGTAGAAATTAGGAACTTCAACAAGTGACATCACTGTATACTCTCTTTTGTGGCCAATGAATGGAAAATGGGCTCTGAGGAGATCTGTAAAAACACACAGACTAGAATCGGGAAGAGGGAAGCTAGGGAAAACTTTCAACACCTCTGTTCTGAGCCTTAAAAAAAATAGGATGGACATGTTCTCCTTGTAGCCTTGTAATGCATAATAATAGTAATTTTCCTAATGTGCCTGTTTATCTGAGATTATTCCAATGACTGGCACAGCCGTCAGGAGGACAAAGATGCCCATTTCCCAATCACTTGCCGGCGTCTTGCTGTTGCCCCCACTTTAATCTTCCCGTGTTCCTTCCAGTTCTCACTGGAGCCCTGCCGACTGAGTGAGACTCACAGGAGTTGTGAATTCTGGCTTGAATAATACCTTCCTCTGAACACGAACCCTGCTGGGTAAAGAACCCAGAATCTGCCTAGCTAACGAGCGCCTTCCCCGCAGTTGGTGCACGCGGTGCACTTTGTCGTTGTCCCCCATAATTTGCACACCTGAAACAAGCCCCAGCCCCTTCTCCTGATGTCCTTCCTGCCTCCCACGCCCAGCCACACTGCAAAAATGACAAACTGCTGGATTAGTCTCTTCTGTTTAGTTGAACAGTTGTTCAGTTCTTACCCCTGCCTTGTCCCTTACTAAGCGCCTGTCATTTGGGCTAGAACAGTGGAATGAATACAGTGGAAGCACCGTAGTCAAAAAAGTAAGAATAAATCTAGGCATTTTTCTCATCTCCTTTATTTTATTTTAGGCTGGTTATGCATAGCAATTGTAGTCAAGCTAGTTAGCTCTTGGACTCATTCAATGTTGTAAAAAACATTCTAGTTACCATATGAGTGGCAGTTTCATTACTTTTGTCATCGTATCCAAGAATCAAGAGCAAATAGTGACACAAGACAAACAACCATGTTGCATAATAGTATATGTATTTGTTGGGAAAACTTTAACATATATAGTAATTCAATAAAGATTTGTTGAGCACCTAGTATGTGTCAGGCACTGTCCTTGGTGCTGAGGATAGCATAGTGAACAACACAGCCAGAGTCCCTGCTGTCATGTTAGATACGGATACGGAGACGTAGATATAGATATGGCTGTAGACAGATATACTTTTGTGTAGATGCTATAAATGTTGTATGGACATAGATTGTTGTAATCTACCATACAAGAAAAGCAAATAGGATGGATGAAACTCACAAGTAATATTAAGCACAGATTGTATGTAAAATATTGTCTTGTAAAATATAGGTGAAACTCATAGGATGTTTTAAGTATACGTAATGAGTAAGCAAGAAACTTGTGAGAAAAAGGTAGACTTCATAAGGTATATCAAAAATTTAAGTTCTTTTCCTCTAAGACATGCTACAGATGCAACATATGATGGAACAAACAAGAGTGTTATTTACAGATAAATAGGGATGGAAAAACCAAGTCATTCGGTATGAGCATACAATCTCTGGCCTAACAGTTACATCCCCTCAAATTTACCCCCCCATGGGTGACACCCAGTACAGTCTCATTCTCGTCCCACATGTACCCTCTATCTTCTTGAACATATGGACTATAGTTATAATAACTGTTTCAATGCCTTTGTCTACTAATACTGTCATCTGTTTTATTCCTGGATCTGTTTCTAGTGATTTTTCTCATTGTGGGTCATATTTTCCTTTCCTTTTTTTTTTTTTTTTTCATGCCTGGTAATTTTTTTATTAGATGCCATGCATTGCAAATTTTACTTTAATGGTACTGCACACTTTTGTATTCCTATAAATATCTTGAGCTTTATTGTAGGAGAGAGTTAAGTTACTTGGAAACAGCTTGACTCTTCTGAGGATTGCTTTTGAGCTTCAAGTGGGATCAGAGCAGCCTTTAGGCTAAGGCTAATTAATCCCCTCTAGAGGCAATAACCCTCTGAGTACTCTACCTGATGTCCTATGAATTATGATGTTTCCCATTCCGGTCAGTGGACACAGAAGCTATTCCGGTCCTCTGGGACCTCCAAGGATTGTTCCCTCAAATCCATTCAGGTGGTTCTTTCCTGTGCCTCACGGGGTTTCTTCACACATAGGTGGTGGTCAGTACTCTGCTGAAGATTCCAGATCTACACATCTCTGGAACTCTATATGCAGCCATCTCCTCTCCAGTACTCAAACTGTAGCATCCTTGGCCTTCCAGCTCCATCTAGTCAGTTCAGGATGATAACCAGGCTCCTCGTGGGTTCCCTTTCTCTGTTCCCCAGCCTGGAATCTCTCTCAAGGCAGTAAGCTGGGGAAATTGTAGGGCTCACCTTGTTTACTTGTTCTTTCTCAAGTGTCTGTCCTGTGTTGTGCTTCTTAAGTGATTTTTGCAACCTTTTCATAAGTCTGAAATTCTTTTAAGATGAAAAGATTTAATAGTTTTAAAATTAAAAGAAAAGCACTTCTCCTCTTGTCTAAGCTTGGTACAGGCTGAGCAAAATTTATGATGTGCAAAGGAGGAGCAGCGTTGGCTTCTTCTCTCTTCTTCCACCTTGCTAGCCATCCCTCTAAGGTGGGGGTGTGTAGTTAGAGGATCTAAGACAACCCCACCGATGGCTCTCTGGTGCTGAGGTCACAATGGTCCAGGGGAAACAACTACCCTTTGCCTCACAACCTCTGGGGGTGCTGGCCACTCCTATCCAGCCCCTCTCTCGCTGCCCTCATTTGAGCATTCAGCCAGCCATCTCGACCTCTAGATTTCTGAGGTATGACTCAGACACTTGTCCTCTATGTCCTGAAAACTTCTTGCGACATATGTAGCAAATTCTCTTTGAATCCTTTCCCTAGGCTCATGGTAAGTGATAGGCAGGCTTCCAACACCCCACTGGCAGGGAGGAACTCACCAGCACACCAGTCTCTCTCCAAAAATATTCTTCTAATTTCCAATTCCCTTTTCTGGGAGTGTCCAGCATCACTTAGAAACTAGCATTTCGTTACTGGTGCAAGACCTCCTAGAGCTCTGTTTCTCTGCCATCAACTTTCTGCTACCAATAACATTCCAGATGGTACCTGCTTCATCAGCTTAGGGCCTGGAGGATGATGATAACATGAACCAGAGCAGCCACTTGACTTACAATGGACATTAAACAAAAACTTGAACGAGATCAGAGTGTTAGCTATGCAAATACATATGGGAGGAGCATTTCAGGCAGAGGGAAGAGCCACGGCAAAGGCCCTAAAGCGTCCTGATATGCTCAAGAAACAACAAGGCCAGTATCTCTAGATGTTTAGAATTCCATCATCTTATATTTTCACAGCTCTAGTTTCCAGAAAGTTCTTTCATATATTCAAACGTAATCTTCTCTTGTAACTTTTACCCACTGATTCTAATTTAATTCTTCTCACACATGGCAGCTTTCCAAGTACTGCTCTTAGGTCTTTTTTTTTTTAGGTGATACCCTGCCTCCCAGACTCTTCAGTCCTTCCTCCATGACATGATTTCCAGGCTAGTCACCACCTTGATGATTCTCTTCTAGAAGATTCCCTATTTGTCTCAATTGCTGTTTTGTGTGTGCAAAAGACTTTTTTAAAATGAAATGTTTTTTAGTATTTATTTTATTTTAGTTTTTTAAATTTAATTTTAGTGTTTTTAAAGATTTATTATTTGAGAGAGAGAGAGCCCACGATGGGGGTGGGGGGGAAGGGCAGAGGGAGAGAGAGAATCTTAAGCAGACTCTCCGCTGAGCTCAGACCCAGAGTCAGGGCTCGATCCTGAGATCATGACCTGAGCCAAAATCAAGAGTTAGATGCTTAATGGACTGAACCAAGCAGGTGCCCCTTATTTA